CCCAGGCCCCCGTGTGCAGCTGGTGACACTAAGAGATCTCAAATGTTCTACGAGTGGTGGCATTAGTGAGTTAGCTGGAGTTCTCCGAATTACAGAAAGTGGCTGAAGCACTAGCAGCAGGGCCGCAGGACAGAGCACACACTGGACCCAAGGACGGGCTGCCGGACATCACGAGCAGTCTTCTCCTGTTCGTCTTTAAGGAATTAGCCATAAATGTCTTCTCAATCTTACTCTCTTAGTGATGTTTGAAACCCACTTCTCCTCAAATGAGTTTAAAAGAAAAAAGCTGTGCAACAAAGACCTTTCCTGTCCTCACTAGCACGCCGGTCGTGACAAGGTCATTCCTGAGTCGTCCCCTCCCGCCATGTGGTACAAGCAGCACTTCCTGTCTCAGCACCAGACTCCCAGCAAGTCTAAGCGCTCCGCTCGACAGGCAGCTTTTTCCTTCTCGGCTTGCACATAGTTTACCGGCACAGAGAGGCATATACTCACAACTCTGACACAAGCTCGGCACATGTTCTCTCTGTCACACAGAGGCAAGCAAACAGACAAACCAAAAATGTCAATAAAATAAGACACATTAAAAACACAATAGGGACACTTTTTTTTTAATGAGATGGCAAGTTTAGACAAATTACAGGCCAGAATAAAACGAATACAAAAACTCATCCAGATAACAGAAAAGCATCACTTACAAAAGGGATCAAGCCCCTCCCCCCCATTTTGTAATTACACACAGCCTGGAACACCGCACATCTACATCCTGCCGCGAGTCAGTGCACTACTCAACACAACAGCAGTCAATGACAATACTGAGCGAAAGATTCTAGCACTTTCAGCATGGATGTCAAGAGCCATCTCGTAACAGCTTCATTACGCAAAACTCAACTGAGAATGTGTGAATGTCCTCTGCAAACTGTAAGGTGCTGTGCAGATGGCGTTAGCTATTGCTCTTCTTCCTGCTCAGTGCACTGAACGGAAGAGAAAGGAAGACTGTCTGCATAAGCAACCAATAGGAAACATACGAAAGCAAATGCAGATACGACTTTCAAGTAAGACATAGCAACACAGGCAAGGAAAGTGTGGTCAGGAGTGATGTTGAGCAATTCCACAGTTCCAAGGAATACATAAAAGATGAACAGTCACAGATTACGTGTAATATTTACACTTAGGTTCCCAAGGTCTTTGTGAAGATAATCTATTTTTAAGGTGACCCTTCTCTCTTGAAAAAGAAAAACAGAACAGATCTCATACAGTTCCTAACATTCACTTCCAAGCAGCTCTTCTAAAAATTATCTTAAGGGCTTGCATGGTGGCGTAGCAGGTAAAGCTGCCACATGTGACACCAGCATCACATAGGGCTGCAGCCTCCTATCATGGCTGTTTCACTTCCTATACAGCTCCCTGTTAATGACCTGGGAAAAGCAGCAGAGGACATCCCAAGCAGGTGGGCCCCTGCACCCACTCAGACGAAGCTCCTAGCTTCCACCTCACCCAGCCCTGGCCACTGCAGTCATCTGGGGAGTGAACCAGTAGACACAGGATATCTCTCTGTCTCTCCTTCTCTCTGTGTAACTGTGATTTTTCAAGTGAATATTTTTTTAAGTTACCTTAAACATATGGCAAAGTCTGAATTAATGGGGGCTCCACTCTGGTGACAACACAAAATGCCTGACGGCAGGAAATGTGCCCGGGACCTAGCCAAGGAACAACTTCGGTACCACAGTTGAATGATGGCAAATGGGCCTAGCAACAGCCTGTAACTCTACTCGGCCACAAATGGAACAGAAAGAGGCCTTTGTACAGACAAGAAGCGCACACTGGACACGCGGGAGCAGATTTTAAACCTGTGTTCCACGCCCTTCAGCCCTCAGCTTTGTTTGGGTATACCTTCCTTGTTTCTACTGATCTGCCCATAGGAAAATGGAGAACAAACACCAAACACCAAAATCAAACCAAATCAGTTGCTTCTTCTGGCAAAGTCAACGGCATTTTAATGATCAAAATATTCTAATCATTATGAAGTATTGGTTATATATCGGTGAGATACAAATGGGTTTTATTAACAGCAACTTTCCATTTCTTCACTTACAACTCACAGCCGGGAGGCGCAGGAGGGTCGCGCCTGGAGCGCTCCTGCCCGCGGTGCTGGGGCCAGCGCGCAGTGTGGACGGAAGACGACGCGGCACAGCACACGCGGTGAAGCAGTAGCTTGCCCTGTCCCTTCAAGGTACAGTTTTTGAGGTGATTCTTTACAACAAATTTTCAAGCCACAATGAACGTAGTCCTACCTTAAAATATTTATAAGGACTCAAATGTCACTTTCTATACATTTCAAGTATATATACATTATGTATGAGGAAAGCAGTGTCACAGCTTGAAAAATATATCTATTTGCCAAATGTTACATGTTATTTCACACAAGTAACAACTAGTTACTAGCAAACTAGTGAGTTAACTAAAATCCTAGGGGGAAAAGCTGTTTTGAAAACAAGCCTATTTTAAACCATCTGAAATGTCAATCCAAGGGAAAAAGTTACAACTGTTTTTGCCGAAAAATATTCATACCATCATCTATCCAACAAATGTCTAAGACCAATCAAAATAATCTACCATCATTACTAATATTTAACAAAAAGCATACAATTTCAAAGCATGGTTCCAGTGTTGTGGTACAGCACATTCAGCTGCCACTTGGCAGGCTGGCATCCTCGATTAGAGCACAGGTTGGAGTCCTGGCAGTCCTACTTGCCATCCAGCTCCCTGCTGACAGGGAGAGCAGCAGGCCTGCCGCGGTGCTGAGGAGACCCACGCGGAGCTTCTGCCTCCTGACTGGCCTGGCCCAGTCTTAGCTGTCTCTCTCTAGCTCTTCCTTTAAATAACAAGAATTAAAAAAAACAAAACATAAATCTCCACTTATCAACTAAAACATATCCCCAAAATACAAGAAAAAGCCTTGGCAATTACAGAAAAAAAGAACTTTGGTGGCCAATTCTAATCGCAATGGGCCTTGTGAGGGGGCATGTAGGAATCTAGCACACAATATCGCCAGCGTCGCGTTCCTAAGGCTTCACCTTTGACACTGACACGCACAGAACAGAGACAAGCATAATATTCAGAATAACTGTTTAAAAACATTTAAACTGTAGGCAATAGTTAAATAGGAGCAGGAATTGAAAATAACCCTACAATTGTCTTACCTTTTTTCAACAAATGAACATACATATTTAACTTTTCTGTTTAATCACCTCCCTACTCCTTCAGCTGCTCCGCAACATAACAAATAGAGAAGGGGCACTCCCGTACTGGCGAGCCCTGCGGCCTACCCACTAGGATTTCAGTAACAACAAGCATACATTTAAAACAGAAAAGGGAGAATGCTCTTTTAAGAAAATGGTCAGTAGTTACTTCTCTAAAAAATGTACATAGCTATCAGGTAAAACTGAGAATTTTAAGTGAAAACAAAATTATAATGTGTATCCAACCTAGATGAAGATATAGTTTTCAGAATACAACCATGTTCTAAACTGAAAGGTGGCACTACTGGGAGAATGATAATTGTCTGCCTGTTGGAATATTAATTTTCCAGTTTTCTATAGAGAATATAAATTATGGTTCTATAATTATGACAAAAAATACACATTTAGGGGAGTATTTTGAGATTGTGCACAAATAGTAGCAAACGGCTAGAAAGAATGCAGACTAAGGATACGGAAGTAACGCCAGAGGCCTTTACTCTCCTCTATGAGGAAGGACCTCAACAGCAGTCAGACAGGAAGACAGTAAGTCTCTCTCTCACACACACTCACTCTCACACACACACACACACACACACACACACGCTGTAACTTAGCTCTGACTGAAACGACCCATAGATTGGAAATTCCAATACCAATACTTCTCAATAAAAGTAATGTACCTTCAGGTTTATACTCCTAATACATGCAACAATTAGTATTTTAAGTGTAAATTTTTATAACATCACACAATCATTTTTAAAAAACAGGAAGAGCAACTTTCAACTGAATCATCCCAAGTTGTGCAATGGGAAGCCGAGCCGCAGTGCTGAAGGGAGGTGTGCGGCTGATTATGAAGGAACTGGGCTGCGGAGCACCCAGGAAGCAAGCTGAGGCCGGAAATTGGCCCTTTGTTCATTAGCTCCTTCAGGAAACTCACAGTTTTTTTACAGGCATGGCTACGAGTTAGCCTCATTCCTGCCTGCCAGCTCTACTCCAAACACGGTGACGGAGTCCTCCTGCCTAGGGATGATGCTTCATGCAAAATTCCCTGTGGGCTGGGCCCAGCTCAATAGCCTACTGGTTAAAGTCCTCACCTTGCACGGCCAGGATCCCATATGGGTGCCGGTTCTAATCCTGGCAGCCCTGCATCCCATCCAGCTCCCTGCTTGTGGCCTGGGAAAGCAGTGGAGGACGGCCCAAAGCCTTGGGACCCTGCACCCGAGTGGAAGACCCGGAAGAGGCTCCTGGCTTCAGATTGGCTCAGCTCCAGCCGTTGCAGTTACTTGAGGAGTGAATCATCGGACGGAAGATCTTCCTCTCTGTATATCCGCCTTTCCAATAAAATTAAAATAAACTTTAAAAAAATTGCTTTTTCTGCGGAATTTAGGTTCATTCTAGTGTCCACAGTTTGAGCAATTTTCAATAAGAAAGAAAAATCCCAAAGCCAAACACCAGGTATTTTCCTGATTGCAAGTGTTCCAGTTGGAGAAGGTAAGTTAAGGTTTGCTTCACTGTACATAAAACAACACATCCAGAAGTAAAACTCAAAAGCACTGTAAGACAAAACATTTTCTTTGTAAGATAGCCAAATTCTTATGTGAAATAATATGAAACCAGTCAACCTCCTAATTTGGAATTAGCTTTTCCCAATTCTCACTTGAAAATAAGAGACCTATACAGTTAAAATCACTTGTACAAATCACTGCATTAGAAGGATCACGATTTATAGTAGCCAAATGTGACTCTTTAAGACTGATTTTCATGTGTTCTGACAATTTTATTGAAGTTCACCAATGCTCCCATAACATCTGCTATATAAAAAATGAGGTTAATGCTATCAAAAAGTGCTGCTGCCTTAATCCTGCTTGCCTTCGCGCCACTGTCGTGAGCCTTCGTTCCAGGCCACGTATACAAACAGAGCCAGCACCACGTGGACCGCGACCACCGCGACAATAGCAGCATAAAAATAGCTATCTCTATTGGACATCCCAAGGGCACCTATCAAGAGAAAAAAGGGTCCAGTTAATTCAAACATACCACTGCACAAAAAACCCAGCACATACTAAACACTGTGGATTACTGTGAATCAACTATTCATCAAAATATCTGAGAAAAAATACTTTAAATGGAACCATTACAACTCTTTTAAAGGACTTCAATACCAAAATTGGGACTTTTTCTTCTTTCCCATGTCTGATACCAAAAGCCCATTCCCCCAAATTCCTTCCTCCATGTCAGTCCAACTTTGTACTCCAGGGCATTCTAAAAAATGTACAGGTTATTTCACAAAAAAAACTTATGACGTCAAATTGATAGAAACTGCAAATGATAAGAGCTGCTGTCATGAAAACTCTGAAGTAACATGATGTGTGAAAATCAAAATAGAAGGAAAAAATAAGAATAGCCCGTTGATAGCTACAGAGAGGACCAAAGAAGGCTCAGAATCTAGCAAGGGGGCAAATGTCAGCGGTGAGAGCCGATGATTACCTTCAAATATGTATGATTTGGTAGTGAAGTATAACCCGATAGGAACAGTGATCATTAAAGCTGTGAAGAACAGGAGCGTCTTCAGGGTAGATGCTAATGAACTTTCAGTTCTGGAATGAAGCAAACAAACAGAAAATTAGGGCTCACACAGCCATATCCACACATTCTTCCGTCCCTAGTGTTATAAATACCCACAGGCAAGATGCCGGGAAGTTTGTGCCTGCCTCAGGAACAAGAGGGATACAGCCTGACAGCTGTAAGGATCCAGAGACCATGCTGTGGACAGCTGGCATTGCTTCAGCTAAAACATGGCCTTTATATGATCACCTTCCAAAAACTGCCACTGAGGTCCAATGGAACCCACTGAGTCCTAGCGAAGCTGTGTTAAAGTGGAGGTCACTTCTGTACCCATTCTGGCAGCAGGCCCTCCAGCAGAACAGGCTTCACAGTGCCAATGGCAGAGACATCCAAGCAAGGTTAAGTCTACAAGGGCAAGGCACTTCACCTATGTATTGGGAGCTGAGCAAATTCGATGCTGTTAGCCTGAACAAAGGACAGCTGCCTCTCCGCTCATGCAGATGGAATTTGAACCCAGCTACGTCTTCATCTCCTGAACTCTCTGGGCAACTTACCTTCCCCAACTAGTTTCACACCCAGGGAGCAAATGGAGCCTCAACTGCTGGGGCCCATGTGGTGCCCAAGGCCAGCAGTGTTGCCTAGCAGAACAGTCCCATGTACCGCAATGCCTCCCAAGCACACCTGAACTGATGTGGTGCCCTTCCCTCGCAGGGTAACAAACCACTAGCCAAGCTGTGCCACACAGCCACACTGCCGTGCCCTCCGGGACTCCCAGCTGCTAAGGCACATCAGCCTTGGAGTCCCTACTGTCACTGTCCCAACCTTAGAGAACCTAGACCACTCCATGCTCCAGAGCTGCCACTCTGCAGGATTCCCTCTCATTGTGCCTGAGTTACCACTGTGTTCCAGTGGCTCAGCCTCTGCTCTGCCATTAGGCAAAGCCCCTGGAACAGCCTCCACAGCCATGCCAATGCTACACGTTAGACGCCCAGGGTCAGAATTAGTCTCCTTTGCTTTGGGCCTGCAGTACCAGGGAGTGATCGTTCCAGTGTTAGAGTTCTCAGCATGGAGGAACAGCTGTGTTTGTCTCAGAGAGTAACTACGACCAGGTTCTAAAGGCTCTATAGTCACCTGTGCTACTGCAACATCAGCCCTATCACCCTGGGGGACCCCTTCAGCCAAACATCCTCAATGTGGGGAAAGGGAGAACAGGGGGTCCCCAAAACTCTCAACCTCAAGAACCCTAAGAAACTACCCCATCATCACTGCTACTACAAAATCCTGCAGCCTAGACACCCAAATCCTATAGTTATCACAAAGCTCAATGCAGCTGAAGAAGCTGCGTGGAGAGTGTGCCACTAGGTTCCAGAGCCAACAGAGCCTGTATACCCAACAGCCCAGGCCCATTTGCAGGTACAATCTCCCCTTGCAAAAGCCACTACAGAAAATGCTGAGGCTACTGCTGCGGCGCATGGACAGCCATCAATACGTCATCTATCGTAACTGTGAGATGCCTTATGTAAAAGCTCCATGGTAATCACAAAGCCAAAATGAACAAACAAACAAAAACTACAGCAGAAACACAAACAAGAGAGAATGGCTTCAATGCATAGCACTACAGAAAAAGGAAAATCCAAAGGTAGATAATGTGGGAAAGAAACTTACAAAGGGCCTACATGACAATCACAACACAGTGAACAAAATTATGGGATAAGTCCTTACCTACCCACAATAATCTTAGCTATAAATGAATTAATCTCTCAACCAAAAGACAGAGTAGCAGAATGAATTTTTTTTTTAAAAAAGAGAGAGCTCCCCTACATGCTCCCTACAAGTGGCCCATTTTAACTTGGAGGAGTTGACTGAGTGAAGAGATGACCATGAAACAGTAGCCACAGGAAAGCAGGGGTGACTATTCTTACACCACATCAAATAGACATCAAGTCAAAAACAACTATAAAAACCAAGTCATTCTTTAATAACAACAAAAAAAAATCAACCATCAAGAGAATGTCAACAATCATAAATACAGATACTACCCCAGGAAATGTAATTAAAAGATCTTGGTGCAAAAAATGTGAACTACATACATGGTTTTCCATCACATGCATGTCCACGGTACACACTTCCCATGAACTTTTTGAAGATCCCTCATAAATTTGTTCTCACCGTCAGAATAGCAAATTATAAAGCAACTATGACTAGGCTGAAGGAAGAAACATCAGTGGTATGATAATAATGTTTCACTTTCAATAATGAAAGCACTTTCGAACAAATGGACGTCAGGACATATGTAGAACTTTCCATGCAACAGCATTAGCATGCATTTTTCCTAGTACATACAACATATTCTCTAGGAAGGAACAAGTAGGAGGCCATAAAAGAAGTTTCTACAAATTCAACGGAGACTGAAAATCCTTTCAAGCACTTTTCACATCACGGCACAAATCAGTATCAGGAAGCAGTTTAAAACTCACAAATGTGCAAATTAAACAACACGTGCCTTAATAGTCCGTAAGGCAAACAAGAAATCAAAAGCAAAAATTTTAAATATCTTGAAACTAAGGGTATAGGCATGACAGATCAAGACTGAGGGCATGCAGAAAAAGCAGCTCTATGAGAAAAAGTTACAGCATCAATGCCTGCATCCAAACAGACGATCTCAAATAACTAGTCCAACAGCATGCCTGAAGTAAACCCAAGATTAGCAGGAAGTTTTAAATTTTCTATTTATAAATTATCTAACTTGATGAAGCAAGAATCCAACTGATTATATTTTGTTAGATTTTTTTGAGAATTCATTCTTTTGTTTTTTTATAAACGTTTATTGCTGAAAAGATGATAAAACTATGAAAACATTTTAAACAAAACCACTTATAATCCTCAAATCCACACATCACCCATTTTCTCCATGGCAATTTCTCCCTGCTCTACACACAGCATACCCCATGAGTTGTAATCCATCTTCAATTCCTTCTAATGACTCCCTTTCACATCCATTTTAAAAACTTTCTGGATTACACAGTCACTAATATGAAACCAAGTACAGTCATGTATTGTTTAACAACAGGACTAGGTTGTGGGAAATGAAGTTGCTAGTTGTGGGGCAGCACTGTGCCACGCTGGGGTGAGCTGCCTCCAATGCCAGCAAAGTTCTTCTAGTGTGTACATGGTATTCGCTCCTTGGCTCCCGGCTCTGCCCACTGCTGCTGTTGGTTCTGCTAGTGCAAACTGGCCTGGGTAGACTCAGGAATTTAGTCCAAAACAACGTCACTGACATGAGGCATTTGGTTTCTCTTGTATCTCTTAGTGTCCTCACAATTTACTACAAATGAGGAGTGGAAAGGTCAGAATGAAAATCATTCTTTCAGAAAGGAAACCAAATCAGGATGAACATCCCTGTGCCTGCCCATCTCTATCCCACCTAGACTTGCTCAGCTGTATGTGCAGTTCTGCAGTGCACACTCAGTTGGCGGCACAACTTACTGTGGCAGAAATCGTTCACTCTAAGATGCAACGGGAAATACTACTAACCCTGGCAGAAGTACAGCATATTTTAAAGGATTTGGTTAATGCATTTATTTGAAAGGGAGCATGAGAGAGAGAGACAGACAGACATAGAAAGGCAGGAGAGCTCTTGCATATGCTGGTTCACTCTGGAAATGGACGCCCACCCCAGCTGGGCCAGGCTGAAGCATCTGGGGCCAGTATGATCCAATACTTTCATCTTGGACAAGTCACTTATTCTGAGTCAATTTCCTCTTCTTTAAAATTGGAGAATTAAGACGTTGGAGGCACTAAGTTGTAAGAATTCGAACTGTATGTAGAGCTTCTATCCTGAGCCTTGCACACAGAGCTTAAGGAACGTGGCTAACTTGCTCCCCACCGCCCTCGCCTAAGGCGCTGGGCCACAAATGCTTTACTCCCTCATCAGATTCCTTCAGTTGACCCGGCACCCCGCTGCCCGCTCCCCATTGCAAGGGGAGGTGCCTGCATTCCGTTCATTCATTCATCCAACAGACATCAAGGCGCCAGGATGCGGGCCCTGTAAGGAGCGTGGAGTAGAAAAGTGCCGAATCCCTGTCTTGAGGGAGGTAATCCTGCAGTGTGGAGACTGCAACAATGTGGATGAAAGAGGAAGCGTTAGCTCAACCTAGGGCCCGCTGATGGACAGCCCGGGACCCCCGGATCCCTTGTTCCCAGGAGAAAGGCTTGGGCCAGAGTGGCAGATTGCATGCTCCTGCGTGCTTCCACGTCTACCCCTCCCCCAAAGCAGGACCCAGAGATTCCAGACTCCACGCACACCCCACTGGACTCGGCTTTTCCTTGGACCGTGCTCCAGGCAGGGGTTCAGCGCTACCTGAACTCGGGCGGCTGCAGGGCGTTCAGCGCCGTTTTGTCCAGGCGCTCCATCGCGTCGCAGTGCCGCGGTCGGGGCTGGGGGCTGGGGAAGGGGGTTAGGCGCCCGGGGCTGACAGGCCTAGCTTGACCGGGCCGGAAGCGCTCCCGGAGCAGCAGGTCGCAGAGAGCAACACGCAGGCGCGGCGCGGCGCGGCGCAGTGACGCAAGCCCGCAGACACTGCGGCTCCCGGGCTGGGTGGAAGCTCACGTGACTTACCGGCGGGGGCTCCGCAGCGTGCGGCCGGCCGGGGGCGGCCTGTGCTCGAGGAGTAGGCCGGGCGAGTAGCCCAGCCACTCCACGTTGAGCCGGGACTTGCCGCGCAGCATGGTCCGCCCCAGCGAGCGCGTCGCCCAACTTGGCGCGGGCGCCTCTGGCTCGCGTCTCGGGTCTCTGTCGGCCCAAGGCGACTGGAGCAGATGAACCGCGAGAAAAGACGAGCGGGCTGTGGTGCTAGGCAACGGAGCAGTTCCTGAGACCAACACACACACAAAAGCAATGTACATTATTCCACCAGCCGGTGAGCACATGTCTCGTTAATTACTGCCCGCAGCGCACGTCCATCCGTGGGAAGGAACCGGGAGGAGGTAGTTTGAACACTCACCGGAGTCGCTGTGACTCGAGATGGCAGAGCTGAAAGAGCCCTGGCCGCTGACCCCAACTTGCACTTAAAGTTAGAAACATAGTTTGCAGCTGCTCAGAAAGCCGCCAATGAGACAACAGGGACTCAAATAGTAAGGCTGCATGGGCCTCCCGAGCCTGCGCAAGGAGGGAGAGGTCTCGGCACAAGAGGGTGTGTGCGCCTCGGGTGAGCCTCCATGAAATTAGGTTGCCACTGGCTGCTACTAAGGGGACAGCCCTTACAAGGTCAACGCCTGCAAAGCGCTGTGACCGCACATCTATTTTCTGCAGCACATGGCAACCAAGACCACATGTGAGATGATGACTAAAGCAGCAGCTGGGAGCAGGGCCAAGGCCGCTGGCCCAGGCTCCAAGAAGCCCGAATTCCAGTTGCAGTTTCCTAATCCCTCCCTGGCCACTTCCGTACCCTGAAGTGGAGAACAACTTCCCGAACCTAAGAATTTGGACCAGAACTGGAGAGGATTACTGTGCTGCAGAGTGCACAGTCTGCGGCCAGCAGCTGGGTTAGGCTGAGAGGTTTCTTTTTTTTTTTTTTCTCCCTGTTTTTAAGTGGTTGAAAATGAATGAGTCAAAGGGAGAAAGACGTGTCATTGACATGAGAAAATTATGTCATTCAAATTTCAATATCCCTAAGTCAAATTGGATTAGGACCCAGCCAGACTTGTGCAGTCTGTATTGTCTAACATGGCAGTGTCAAATACTTAGGAGAAGACATTAAGGTCCCCAAAGCTGGAAATGTTGACCCCCTGTTCCTTTACATGGCTGGAGCTAACCCAGTGACCCCCTCAGACCCCTAGGGCACCCACACCCAGGACTGCAGTTGGCGAACACTGCCCAGCGTTTTTAAAGACCTAAAACGGTTAATGTATTCATTATAAAGCACCAAAAGCTGCATAACACGATGTCTCTGCTCGATTTTCAGTACTAATGACTGAAATCATGATGTACTGCAGTCTTTTAAAACATTGAATGAACACAAAGGGAAGGGTTGTCTTAATGCGCAGAATAAGGCCTGGTACATGGTAGGCACTCAAGGAGTGTGTGTTAAGGAAAAAGTTGGGTGCACAGGAGGACAGAGAACACAGAGGATGTCCTTGTTGCATGGCTCTCTAGCAAACCCAAGCGGCTTGAACAACAGATAGAAAGTTCAAGGTTCTGGTTCCTTCTGAGGGCCGTGAGGGAAGGGGGCCATGCTGTGCCTGTCGCCTGACTTACCATTTGGGGTCTTCTTTGGCTTGTGGCAAAATCACTCTGATTCCTGCATTTCTCCTCATCTTGCACTCTCCCTGTAACTGCATTTGGCTCACCCTGCCCCCATGTGACTGTGTGTCAATAACATCTGCAGCAATGTCCCACTCCTAGTCCTAAATGGAGTCTGGAATTTCCACATCTGAGTTTTAGAGGGACACACCTCAGCTAAGAGCAATGCAGACAAGGAGGCCGTGGCTCAGATGGGCAGGGGACTAGCTGGAAGGCACATACCTGTGTAGTGAGGTCTCGCTTGACTCCTGACTCACAGGCCAGCATCTTTGCAATCTCAGGTCAGCAGCCTGTGTGGCAATTGTTTGATAATGCAAATACTGCTCATAAGTGAGATAGGACATGGCACCACAACGACCATTTAATTTAATCTGTGTGTGTGTGAACTGAAGTTCTGGAATATCTTTTCCTCACACTGTTGGAGTGTTTCTGCTGAGCTCACTAAGGCACAGATAGGACTGTGGAATACACTCAGACACTGTAAGGAGTGAGTTTTGCCAGCACTCTGCCCCTCAGCAAAACCCGACCCTTCCCACCTGCAGCAGGGAGCTGTTGCCATGGGAATAAAATGGCATGTCAGCACGTATGGCGACTGCAGAGGAAACCATAGCAATGCCATGGTTATTACCTCCAGCAATCAGAAAATGACAAACTGAAAGAGCTCCAGGATGGCACGTTCACTTGAGCTGAGAGAACTGAGCTCAGGATGGAAGTGAATGCTGCAGATTGCCTGGGTCCTGGAGAAGACTTAAGAATAGACCATCCCTGACTCTCGGTCTGTTGTCTTTGCCATCATATTGTTGTAGAGTTTGATACCAGCAAAAGCGCACACCTAGACTCCAATTTCCCAGCACCCTCTGATTTGTTTTACTGACCTACAAAACCATGGTTCCCCAAAGTTCTCCTCTGGGGAGGTGGTTGACTGGGCTGGATGGGATAGCTTTGTCCTTCAAACACTTACTAGAGAGGGAGAGAAATGGACTTCTTTTTAATGTAGTGTGTGATGTGTTCTTTTCTAAAAATACAGATTGATAAAATGTGCCTGCCCCTTAGCAAAAAATAGAAAATAAAACCTGTTCTACTTCAAGAAGAAAAGAACAAAACTGACGAGTTTGAGCTAGGGGTTATTACAGTAAACACGTCCACTCTCAGCAACCTCCCATTGCCCTGCCGTTGTCAACTGCGAGGTTTTTGTTTGTTTGTTTTGTTTTTTACTCAAAAGGTACAGTTACAGAGAGAGAGATGTGTTTCATCTGCTAATTCACTCCCCAAATGGAGCTAGAAGCTTCCTCCAGGTCTCCCATGTGGGTGCAGTGGACCAAGCACTTAGGCCATCCTCTCCTGTTTTCCCAGAGCATTAGCAGAGAGCTGGACGAGGAGTACAGCACCCAGGAGATGAACCAGACCCACATAGGCTGCCAGCACTGCGGTCAACAGCTTTACTCACTAAGCCTGATTGCCATCCCAAAGTGTAAGTTTTCCTCGAGAGTCTCTCTTCACACTCACCTGTGGCTTACACTGTAAAGTGTGAGTTTGAAGACTAATTTTACAGAGCCTGTTCACAATCCCTACCGTTTATATACCATCCCTATTTCACAGGTGGAAAAACTGAGGCTAAGGAAGGTGGAGGTCCATGCTTCCTGACTTCAATCCACTGCTCTGAAAGTTATCTTGGGCCACTTCTAGTTCTGTCTGTAGAGCTGAGCTGGGATGACAGCCAATAAACAGACCCACTAGAATCACAGCTTGCTTCCGGGAGTCAGGGTTGATTTTACCTATGTGACCTGCCTGGTAGGATGTCATGACACTGGTCCCACTGCCAGCTCAGTGTGGTACCAGCTCAGCCTGGGCTCCCTTGGCACACTAGGAGTTTCGTACCAAAGGGAGCCTCCTGTGCCAGGTAGCAGGACTGCAGCTGTCAACCTCAAAGGGAAGAATCCTACCGCCAGGCATTTCCATCACCAGCTGCATCTCGGGAAGAGACTGACAAGAACACCTTGAGGCCACGCCAGTGACAGTTTAAGACAACGTGCATGTCATGCCAAACAAGGGCCAGGCTCAGAGGAGGTGTCTGTGACCAGTTGGTGGAACAGAAGGGCAAATGCCAGGGCTTGCCTGGAAGCAGAGCCTAGAGATTCAGCAAACAAAGCTCAAAGTCTAAAAGGGCAGGAAGGAGGCAGGTTTGCCTTGGACCCTCCCAGGCACCAAGTGGGTAGGGATGAAAGGGGAGAATTAGACCTGCATTTAGTTGCGGTGGCTCCCATAGGTCCTGCAGGCATGGGGCCACGCCCCTCAGCAGCCATGCCCACTGGTAGTATATCTAGGGGCATCAGGGTCTGAGATGAAATCTTGGTCTCCATATAACCATCTGTTGGAAGCTGGTATGCCCAATCTAGCCTGTAGTCCCACTATTCATTGAATAAAATAGCTACATAATTGATCAGCGAGTGGAGCCCAAGGGAAATTGTGTGTGTGTGATGTTAGGGACAGTGTGGTTTAAAAATCCCCACAGTTCTTACATGATTGCAATGCAAAAGAGCTATAAATTTTTGTTACAGATTTTTCTTTTTTTTTTTTTCCTGTTCTCTGTTTTCATTTCTTCCATTGTTGTGTTGAAAAGTCAGGTTGGCATGGTTGCATAACATGCCCCCACCTATAGCACCAGCATCCTACGTGGGTTCTTGTTCGTGTTCTGGCTGCTCCGCTTGCCATCCAACTCCTTGCTTAAACCCTGGGAAAGCAGTAGAACATGGCCCAAAGCTTTGGGACCCTGCACTCACATGGGAGTTTCAGAGGAGGCTCCATGCTCTTGGCTTTGGGTCTGCTCAGTGTCAGCCATTGCAGTCATTTGGGGAGTGAACCAGTGGACAAAAGATCTTTCTCTGTCTCTTTTTCTCTTTATAAAATCTGCTTTTCAGATAAAAAGAAATAAATCTTAAGAAAAAAAAGGTCTAGAAGCACAGGGCGAGTAAATCCAGCTGCTGTGAGGAAATGAAACTCATGAAAAGCAAGGCGATGGGGAGCTGCTCATTTGAGCACATGTATTGTTAAAGGGGGCTGGCACTTGCACTGCAATAGGTAAAAGCACCACCTTTTACACTGGCATTCCACATGGGTGCTGGTTTGAATTCTTGCTGTTTCACTTCCAGTTCAGCCCCTTGTTAATTTGCCTAGGAAAGCAGTAGAGGTTTGCTCAAGTCCTTGGGCCCATGCAACCACCTTGGGAAAGCTGGATGAAGCTCTGGCTTAACACTGTTGGGAGAAATGCAATTAAAAACGAAATTTGCGTGTGGTGGCCTAGCAGCTAAAGTCCTTGCCTTGAAAGCGCTGGGATCCTGTATGGGCACCGGTTCTAATCCTGGCAGCCCTGCATCCCATCCAGCTCCCTGCTTGTGGCCTTGGAAAGCAGTCAAGGACAGCCCAAAGCCTTGGGACCCTGCACCCACATGGGAGACCTGGAAGAGCTCCTGGCTCCCGGCTTCAGT